CTCCGTTATGCGCCGTGAAAATTCTCTGTACATTTTCTAGGTCGGCAATTTCACCTGCCTTGAAAGGTGCTGTTAGAGTGCAGCAATATTCCAGCCTAGATAGAACAAGTGACCTGAAGAGTGTCATCATGGGCTTGGGCCCCCCTAGTTTGAAGGTTCTCATTATCCATCCTGTCATTTTTCTAGCAGATGCGATTGATACAATGTTATGGTCCTTGAAGGTGAGATCCTCCGACATAATCACTCCCAGGTCTTTGACGTTGGTGTTTCGCTCTATTTGTGGCCAGAATTTGTTTTGTACTCTGATGAAGATTTAATTTCCTCATGTTTACCATATCTGAGTAATTGGAATTTCTCATCGTTGAACTTCATATTGTTTTCTGCAGCCACTGAAAGATTTGGTTGATGTCCGCCTGGAGGCCTTGCAGTGTCTGCAATGGAAGCACTGTCATGCAGATTCGGGTGTCATCTGCAAAGGAAGACACGGTGCTGTGGCTGACATCCTTGTCTTATGTCGGATATGAGGATGAGGAACACAAGATGGGAGCTAGTACTGTGCCTTGTGGAACAGAGCTTTTTCACCGTAGCTGCCTCGGACTTTACTCTGTTGACGATACTCTCTGTGTTCTGTTAGTGAGGAAATTATAGATCCATCGACCGACTTTTCCTGTTATTCCTTTAGCGCGCATTTTGTGCGTTTTTTACGCCATGGTCACACTTGCGAAGGCTTTTGCAAAGTCTGTATATATTACATCTGCATTCTTTTTATCTTCTAGTGCATTTAGGACCTTGTCGTAAATGATCCAGTAGTTGAGACAGACAGGAGCGACCCGTTCTAAACCCATGTTTTCCCTGGGTTGGTAACTGATGGGTTTCTAGATGGGTGGTGATCTTGCTTTTTAGGACCCTTTCAAGATTTTATGTTTTGGGATGTTAGTGCTATTGTCTGTAGTTCTTTGCTTTTTTGCTTTACTGCCCCCTTTGTGGAGTGGGGCTATGTCTGTTGTTTTTAGTAACTGAGGGACGACCCCGTGTCCATGCTCCCTCTCCATAGGATGGAAAGGCTCGTGATGGGGCTTCTTGCAGTTCTTGATGAACACAGAGTTCCATGAGTCTGGCCCTGGGCAGAGTTTCATGGGCATGTATTTATCGCCTGTTCGAAGTCATTTGGCGTCAGGATAACATCGGATAGGCTTGTGTTAATCAAATTTTGTGGCTCTCTCATAAAAAATTCATTTTGATCTTCGACTCTCAGTCTGGTTAGCGGCTTGCTAAAAACTGAGTTCATATTGGGACTTGAGTAGCTCACTCATTTCTTGCTGTCATCTGTGTAGGACCCATCTTGTTTAAGTAGGGGCCCAATACTGGGCGTTGTTCTCGATTTTGATTTGGCATAGGAGAAGAAATACTTTGGGTTTCTTTCGATTTCATTTATAGCTTTTAGTTCTTCCCGCGATTCCTGACTCCTAAAGGATTCTTTTAGCTTAAGTTCGATGCTTGCTATTTCTCTGACCAGTGTCTCCCTGCGCATTTCAGATATATTGACCTCTTTTAGCCGCTCTGTTATTCTTTTCCGTCGCCTGTAAAGGGAGCGCCTGTCTCTTTCTATTTTACATCTACTCCTCCTTTTTCTTAGAGGAATAAGCCTTGTGCATACATCGAGTGCCACCGAGTTAATCTGTTCTAGGCATAAGTTTGGGTCTGTGTTGCTTAGTATATCTTCCCAGCTTATATCGGTTAGGACTTTGGTTTACTTGGTCCCACTTTATGTTTTTGTTACTGAAGTTGAATTTGGTGAATGCTCCCTCGTGACTAGTCTCATTTTGTCGGTCTGGGGCTCCTCGCATACATGTCTGAACCTCAATTATGTTGTGATCTGAGTATATTGTTTTTGATATGGTGACATTTCTTATCAGATCATCATTGTTAGTGAATATGAGGTCTAGTGTATTCTCCAGTCTAGTAGGCTCTATTATTTGCTGGTTTAAATTGAATTTTGTGCAGAGATTTAAAAGCTCGTGTGAGTGTGAGTTTTCATCAGAGCTGCCTCCTGGTGTTATTACTGCAACAATATTATTTGCTATATTCCTCCATTTTAGGTGCCTTAAGTTGAAATCCCCCAGGAGCAAGATGTTGGGTGCAGGAGCTGGAAGATTTTCCAGACAGTGGTCAATTTTTAACAGCTGTTCCTGGAATTGCTGGGATGTTGCATCCGGAGGCTTGTAGACTACCACAATGACTAGGTTTTGGTTCTCGACCTTTACTGCTAAAACTTCCACTACGTCATTTGAGGCATTGAGCAGTTCTGTGCAAACAAGTGACTCTGCAATGTACAGGCCAACCCCCCCCTTTTGCCTGTTCACTCTGTCACATCTGTATAGGTTGTAACCTGGGATCCATATTTCATTGTCCAAGTGATCCTTTATGTGGGTCTCAGTGAAAGCCGCGAACATTGCCTTTGCCTCTGCAAAGTAATGAAAGTAATGTATTTTGGTTATCTTTATTACCAAAACGTTTTCCGTGCGCAGTAGACTTCATTAATCGAATACAGAGATTATTTTTATATTGGAAATAGTTAAAGAAGTGGACAGGTAATTTTAAGATCTCTTACGCTTGAAGAGATGATAAAAAATTTTCAGTCTTAGCACCTCCTCCTAACTTCCAAACTACGAATTCTCTGCATTATACTCACACCACACATTGCTCTCAGACATGACATCTCCACTGCCTCCAGCCTTCTCCTTGCTGCAACATTCATCACCCATGCTTCACACTCATATAAGAGCATTGGTAAAACTATACTCTCATACATTCCCCTCTTTGCCTCCAAGGACAAAGTTCTTTGTCTCCACAGACTCCTAAGTGCACCACTCACCCTTTTCCCCTCATCAATTCTATGATTCACCTCATCTTTCATAAAACCCATCCGCTGGACATCCACTCCAAATATCTGAATACATTCACCCCCTCCATACTCTCCCCCTCCAATTTTGATATCCAATCTTTCATCACCAAATTTTTTTGTTTTCCTCATAACCTTACTCTTTCCTGTATTCACTTTCAATTTTCTTCTTTTGCACACCCTACCAAATTCATTCACCAATCTCTGCAACTTCTCTTCAGAATCTCCAAGAGCACAGTGTCATCAGAAAAGAGCAACTGTGACAACTCCCATTTTATGTTTTGATTCTTTATCTTTTAACTCCACGCCTCTTGCCAAGACCTCGCATTTATTTTCTCTTACAACCCCATCTATAAATATTTTAAACAGGCCACGGTGACATCACACACCCTTTGTCTAAGGCTGTTTTACTGGGAAATAATTTCCCTCTTTCCTACATACTCTAACTTGAGCCTCACTATCCTCGTAAAAAATCTTCACTGCTTTCAGTAACCTACCTCCTACACCTTACACCTGCAACATCTGTACATTGCCCCCTACCCACCCTGTCATACGCCTTTTCCAAATCCATAAATGCCACAAAGACCTCTTTAGCCCTTTTCTAAATACTGTTCACTTATATTTTTTCACTGTAAACACCCGGTCCACACACCCCCTACCTTTTCCCAAAAGCCTCCTTGTTCATCTGCTATCCCATTCTCCGTCTTACTCTTAATTCTTTCAATAATAACTCTCCATACACTTTGCCAGGTATACTCAAAAAGGACTTATCCCCCTATAATTTTTTTTTCACTCTCTTGTATCCCCTTTGCCTTTATACAAAGGAACTATGCAGCTCTCTGCCCAAACCCCAGGTACCTTACCCTTTTTCCATACATTTATTAAATAATTGCGCCAACCACTCCAAAACTATATCCCCACCTGCTTTTAACATTTCTATCTTTATCCCATCAATCCCGGCTGCCTTACCACCTTTCATTTTACCTACTGCCTCACGAACTTCCCCCACACTCACAACTGGCTCTTCCTCACTCCTACAAGATGTTGTTCCTCCTTGCCCTATACACGAAATCACAGCTTCCCTATCTTCATCAACATTTAACAATTCCTCAAAATATTCCCTCCATCTTCCCGATACCTCTAACTCTCCATTTAATAACTTTCCTCTCCTCGTTATTCTTGTGGAATTTTTTTGCATAATTTTCTAAATGTAGAACATATAAGTTAATAATATAATAATTATATAATGAAATATGATGCTGATTTGACCCTTTCGAGAAATTTCGAGTGATGGGTGTAAATCAGCTGTGAGAGGACGCCAGAGAGACGCCACATTGAATTTAATGCGTGAATATTGGACTGTATTGTGCAATGTAATCAGGCATTCTCGAAGGTCAATTGGTATATATCAGCCTCAATCCGTAATTTATAAATTGGTGACATGTTCATGCTGCAGAATTGGGATAGTATGGAAAACCCTTACAATTCGGCAGACAGGACGGAAAAATGGAGGACTTCAATGAATCCTTCCCAACAACACAGCTAAGTGATGCTTACCCATAATGTACAGTAGTTCTTGCATTGGCCATCATAAATCCTAGCTGTTAGGATAATGTTAGGATGAGTTCCATCAGCATTAAGTGTCTTCCACTAATTAAATGGTAAGTGTTAATACTAATTATATTTTGTGTACCCAGCAAGCCTAATCATATACAGTCCACAACTTTAATTAACCAGAGTAGCTGATTTTAGTATTGTAATTCTTAATTTAATGTCAAGTCTAGCTTTTTGTGAAAGTGGTGAAGAAGTGGGCATCGAGAGAGTTACAGTTTAGCGACCTGCTGTGACTTAAGTCCCACTTACCTCACCCAAATTACTTGCAGGTAATAATTCAGATAATACCCTGTAAATCTCATGCAGGTAATTTACTCACATAATAACAATAATTCATAAAATTATTTTAAAATGAAACAGAACATGTGTGAGTCATTTAATATTAGTTTTTATGGACAGACCTTTACTCATAATTACATTCTTCTCTACGAGTCCACTTGGAGGATCCCATCACACTTTAGGTACAAGAGATATATATACTGTATAATTTTTTGCTTATTTTTATTACTAAAGTACAGTATATTTAATCCTTATACAGAATTTACTATAAAACTACTCCAATTTCTGAAGATGCTTATCAAACCAGTGTATAAAATACTAAGATATTAAATCTAGAGATGATAATGAATCCTGCGATGTCGTTATCTTCACATGGCACCACAACACTATTACTACGTCTAGAAAAGTTACATACCAAAGTTTGCGCCCCAACAGTATTACGTCTAGAGCAGTTTACCCATCACTCTAATGACACTAATTGCCACCGGGCGTTCCTAAATAGTGATACATTCTACAGTGATCATTACTACAAAAAAATTCCAAATCACAGTGACCACTATAATTATAATACCAACTAGGTTCTTAGTCTCTGTTGTTACGTTGCAGTACACCAGTAATGATAAATACATACTTTTTTTTATTTCCTATGAACTGTTTCAGAGTATAACAATGAGTAGAACTTGATGGCCAAGCTAAATGTATGCCTTAATTTACTTTAAACTTCTATGCTTGTTAGAAAAAAAATGGACTGCTTGGATAAGTTAAACTATTTGCCTTGAGGCCCGATGCTGAACACAGTCAAGTTGCATGATAATATAATAAAGCATTAGCTAGCTAAAATACAGTGAGGGGCTCAGGGTTGTGTCCTGGGTAAGACTCTGTGTGCACAGGTGCATGTCTCTTGCGATTCACCTCATACCGACTGTCCGGTGATGGCTGTTCTCCGGCGAAGTGCACATTATTGTTGTTATTCTCCTTTGCCAAGTTCTCTCTTAATCTCATGAGCTCTTCCCCTACACCATACTTCATCAGGTTGAACTCTGACACTACCAGAGAGAGGCGACCCAGAAGGTAGTTGAGGTTATTCTCAACATCATCGACCTTTGTGCTGATTTTGTCGACGGTACCGTCCATGTTCCCCACGCGAGACAAGGAAGCGTTCATGTGCTGCTTAGTGGTATCCTTCAGCTGATCCAGCAGATCTACAGACTGTGTCATCTGTTGGTACATAATACCAATCTGCCGCCACACTTGTGAGATCTCCTGCTCCATCTTCGCAGTCATGTTGGTCAGAGCAGAGGTCTGATTCTTCAGAATGGCGAAAGAAATGTTGCTAATTTGATCCGAAAGGGTCGAGTTTATGTTACTTCCGCTGTTTTTCACAATTTCTCCAAGTTCTAGGATGATCTGTTGGATACCGAATTCGATGCTACGTTTGGTGTCAAGGACAGAATCTGCTGTGTTGATCATTACCTGCTCGACTCTTTTTAGGCTACTAATCTCTGCAGACAAATCAGAATAATTTTCCAAAACAGTTTGTTGAAGGTTCTCTGCCTGTGAAGCCCTGTCGTCAAGGATATCAATGATGTTTGAGGTTCCTTCCTTCAGTTCATTACTTAAGGTTGATACTGTTTCCGCCACTGTGGCTGCTGTGTCCCTCACTGCTGTGGTCACGTCAGAAGAGAAGCGTCCTAGTCCCTCCTGCGTAGTCCTGTTAAAATTCCGCAGATTTTGCGCCAAGTCAGCCACCGAGGCGTTGATGCGAGCTTGACCAGCATGGCTGTCCTCCAGCAACATTTTAAGTGTGTTTAAATGATCATTCAGTCCCTGAAACACAAGTATACGTCATTTCATTACTACCAACTAAAAGCGGTGTTTAATGAACATATATTGTCTTAGTTACTGCCACATGATAGATACAGCATCAGCAGGTAAACTATCCAGATTCCATTTCACATGGAATGCCACACACTAAAGTCAAGTGCTTTTTCCTGAATTTTACTGATGAAATGTTAATGCTACAGAAGGGTAACGTCCAATCTTAAATCTAAAATATGTATGTATGTACCGCTTAAGTTCCAGCCAATAAAGATAACTTCATAAGTCCAAATATTCGTCATTAATGCAGCACAAGACAACGAATTTAGATTCCCTCACCGCAGGTAGGCTGTGCAAGTATTCATTTTGTTTACTACATAAATCTATCAGTGAGGCTTCACTATACATGCGTTGTCCTGAGGCTGCTTTTATGCATATTTAAAAGCTTTAGACATTTTTATGACAATCCCTTAATTACATTCCTTTACCAAAGGAAGTCGATCGATACAAATTATCGTTTTAATCTCACCAAACTCTGCATCTTACCTTTGCAGCCTACCTTCAACTTCTACCTTTCACTAAGTATAACAACTACTGCAGCCTACCTTCCACTAAGACAGTATAACTTCTACAGCCTATCTTTCACTAAGATAGTATAACTTCTACAGCATACCTTCCACTAAGACAGTATAACTTCTACAGCCTAACTTCCACTAAGATAGTATAACTTCTACAGCCTAACTTCCTCTAAGATAGTATAACTTCTACAGCCTAACTTCCTCTAAGATAGTATAACTTCTACAGCCTAACTTCCTCTAAGATAGTATAACTTCTACAGCCTAACTTCCTCTAAGATAGTATAACTTCTACAGCCTAATTTCCACTAAGATAGTATAACTTCTACAGCCTAACTTCCTCTAAGATAATATTACCTCTGTAATTTACTTTCCACTAAGATAATATTACATAAGAACATAAGAAAGAAGGAACACTGCAACAGGCCTGCTGACCCATGCGGAGCAGGTCCATGTCCCCCCCGGATTAGACCAATGACCCCCCCACCCCCGGATTAGCCCAATGACCCACCCAGTCTGATCATCTCCGCTCATGGATGGAGCACTGCACCAGACCCAGCAGAATAAGCTAGTCAGGTCCAACTCACACCCACCCACACCCACTCATGTATTAATGTAACCTATTTTTAAAACTACACAACGTTTTAGCCTCAATAACTGTACTCGGGAGTTTGTTCCATTCATCCACAACTCTATTACCAAACCAGTGCTTTCCTATATCCTTCCTGAATCTGAATTTTTCCATTGCTGCGAGTCCTGTCTTGGCTGGAAATTTTCAGCACGCTATTTACATCCCCTTTATTTATTCCTGTTCTCCATTTATACACCTCAATCATATTCTGATACATGGGATCATCTTTGTCATCCTCCTCTGTACGTTTTCCAGAGCATTTATATTCATTCTGTAATACGGTGACCAGAACTGAGCAGCATAGTCTAAATGAGGCCTAACCAAGGATATATAGAGTTGAAGAACAACCTGGGGACTTCTATTATTTATACATCTAGATATGAAGCCAAGAATTCTGTTAGCTTTATTGCGAACACTAATGCACTGTTGTCTTGGTTTTAGATTACTGCTAACCAGAACTCCTAAATCCTTTTCGCAATCAGTAGTATTAAGATCTACATTATTTAGTTTATATGTGGCATGGCTATTTAACTGTCCAACACTTAGAACTTTGCATTTGTCAATATTAAACTGCATCTGCCATTTCTCCGACCATTGCATCAGTCTATTCAAATCATCCTGGAGTGCTGTAGTGTCCTCATTAGAATGAATTGGACGGCCTATTTTGGTGTCATCAGCAAATTTATGTCGCTATTTATTCCCTCATCTATGTCGTTTATGTAAATTGTGAACAACAACGGGCCCAACACTGACCCCTGAGGAACACCGCTTGTGACGTGTCCCCATTCTGATTTCTCCCCATTTATGCAAACTCCGTGTGCCTTAAGTTTCCTCAATAGCCTCTGGTGTGGAACTCTATCGAAAGCCTTACTGAAGTCTATATACACAATATCATATTCATTATCATGATTTACCTCCTCAAACACTTTAGTGAAATAAGTTAGTAAATTCGTAAGACAGGAACGCCCCTTTGTAAAACCGTGTTGAGATTCATTAATCAATCTGTGCCTGTCAAGATGACTACGAATTGTTTCAGGAATTATTGATTCCATAAATTTTCCCACTATGGAGGTAAGGCTTATTGGTCTATAGTTCGAAGCCAAGGACCTGTCACCCGCCTCGTAAATAGGTATTATATTTGCCATTTTTCCACTTATCAGGCACTATGCCAGTTTGTAGTGATATGTTAAAAAGATTAGCCAAAGGTATGCTAAGTTCCTCTTTACATTCCTTTAACACCCTTGCAAACAGTTCATCAGGGGATTTGTTAGGTTTTAGTTTCTCTATTTGTCTGAGGACCATGTCGCTAGTTACCGCAATCGTACATAGTTTATCATCCTGTTCTACATAATCTATTATTTCTGGAATATCGCTAGTATTTTCCTGGGTGAAAACTGAGAGGAAGTAGGTATTTAGAACTTCACACATATCCTTATTACTGTCAGTGATCTGACCAGAGTTACTCTTAAGTGGGCCAATCTTGTCGCTAATCTTACTTCTGTATACCTGAAAGAACCCTTTTGGGTTAGTGTTTGAATCCCTTGCGACCTTAGCCTCATAATCCCTTTTTGCTTTTCTTATTCCTTTCTTTATTTCTCTCTTTAATTGAATATGTTGATTACTTAACTGCCCATCCCCTCTTTTGATACGCCTATATATGCCTCTCTTTTGACCAATGAGATGTTTCCACTAAGATAATATTACCTCTGTAGTTTACCTTCCACTAAGATAATATTACCTCTGTAGTTTACCTTCCACTAAGATAGTATAACTTCTACAGCCTACCTTCCACTAAGATAATATTACCTCTGTAGTTTACCTTCCACTAAGATAATATTACCTCTGTAGTTTACCTTCCACTAAGAGAGTATAACTTCTACAGCCTACCTTCCACTAAGATAATATTACCTCTGTAGTTTACCTTCCACTAAGATAATATTACCTCTGTAGTTTACCTTCCACTAAGATAGTATAACTTCTACAGCCTACCTTCCACTAAGATAATATTACCTCTGTAGTTTACCTTCCACTAAGATAATATTACCTCTGTAGTTTACCTTCCACTAAGAGAGTATAACTTCTACAGCCTACCTTCCACTAAGATAATATTACCTCTGTAGTTTACCTTCCACTAAGATAATATTACCTCTGTAGTTTTACTTCCACTAAGAGAGTATAACTTCTACAGCCTACTTCACTAAGATAATATTACCTCTGTAGTTTACCTTCCACTAAGATAATATTACCTCTGTAGTTTACCTTCCACTAAGATAGTATAACTTTTACAGCCTGCCTTCCACTAAGATAATATTACTTCTGTAGTTTACCTTCCACTAAGATAATATTACCTCTGTAGTTTACCTTCCTCTAAGATAATCAACTCTGCAGTTTACCTTCCACTCAGATAATCAGGTCAGCAGTTTACCTTCCACTAGGTTAGATAACTTCTGCAACCAACTTCACACTAAAATTTGAAAATGTAAAAAAGAAAAAAAATGGACTTGAAGTCCGAATGTTACTTGACGCAGCCTGATACACCATATATATATTATATATATATATATATATATATATATATATATATTATATATATATATATATATATATATTTTATATATATATATATATATATAAATAATATATTATATATATATATATTATTATATATATATATATATATATATTAAAGTGTCGTTTGCATGTAGAGTATCACAAACCGCTGCTGAGTTACTTATTAAAACCCACCTTCTGCGTCTGCTCGGAAAGTTTGTGTAATTCCTCCTCCTGACGGCGGTAGTGTTGATTTAAGACGTCCAGGCGAGTGGTCACGTTACTTCCCTCGCTGCACTTTGGTTCTTGGTCTCGCTCTCGCTGCTCCATCTGTCAATTGATCTTTCCGTTAACGCTCAAAACGAGGACGAAGAATACGCAAAGTTGTGAGCATAGTAGCGAGTGTAGACTACTGATGGTACATAATGCCGAGGAGCTGATGAATAAGATAGTGTATAACACTTGGTAACTTTATTGCCGTTCATCTTTTATTACGACTATTAGCATAATAAATTGTAAGTACCTATTTCTTCTGAAATGAATCTAAGTGATGCACATGTGTATTGTTCATTAGTTAGTTTAGTTTAATATGTTTATTATGCACACCATACCCATCTCAATAATTGATACTCTCCTTCGGAGGAACCATCCAGTAATACAAGATAAACTAGCTACTGTATTCCCTGAAAGCTGTAAAAAAACAGATATATTTACTGAGTATACCCGGATATACCTGGAAAATGATAATAATAATAATAATAATATCTTCATTTACTACAAATACATGTAAACGGTATACAAACCTAGTTGAGAAATATTATGACACACATTATACTGGGAATTGAATAGATCGCAAAAAATAGAAAATGTATGTAAGAGTTTGAATTGTGATGGAATTGTCATGTTGAATCATCGGTTCGCTAGTGTTACATCATTGGTGCGAGCGCATCATCAGCTACATGACACAAAGATGATTCACAGCACATCATCATCCTGGGTGTGCATCATCCTGGGTGTGCAGGGCTCTGCGGTATGAATGACTGCTTGATTATGGTCAGTATGTGAACAACGGTGTGGTAGTGAGAACTGGCTATGAATGAACATGAAGCAAGGGCGGCTTGTGAACCTGACTGTCATGAGCATAGAATCTGACATCCTGCACTTGTTGGATTTTGATGGAGTCATCAGAGACTTTTCCATCAGAAAAGTGTGGAATGTACTTGGCTTATAATATTTTATCTGATTGAAGATAATTCCTCATAAGTCTGTAGATTACTTTTAAGTTACATTTGCAAATGAACAGAAAGGGTGCTAAAATACACTATAAATCCAATTTATTGTTTCATTTCTTCATCTTAAGAGTATGGTACGGATATTGAGAGTGGCGAAAGATTTCCAAGGAGAAACTTAAAAGTCTTCTAACCATTAGAGTTAGACCTTTTTCATGCAAGGGGCCCCCCACAAAACTGGCCCCGGGGCCCCCACCACCTAAATCCGGCACTGGTTGTGAGTATATAAACTAGGCAATAGGTGTATATCTGTATAAACTAGGTAACTGATGTGTGTGTATTAAGTTTATACAGACACACAGCTACTGCTGTGTGTCTGTATAAACTAGGCAGCAGATGCATGTCCATTAACTAGGCAGCAGGTATGTGTATAAACTATGTAGCAGGTGTATCTGTATAAACTAGGCAGCAGATGTGTTTGCATAAATTAGGCAGCAGGTGTGTGTATAAACTCGGCAGCAGGTGCTTGTATAAACTAGGCAACAGATGTGTATCTCCTCTAGTTTCACATCATCTTTGAACAGATACACCTCTCTCTCGATTTCTATTGTCATCTTGTTTACATACACAAGAAACAGTACTAACCATAGTGGAACCTCTCTCAATTTAGCCATTTTCTACATCTCTTCCTGGAAAATTACTTGTTCTTTCCTTCCTGTTAGGTATTCCTTGATCCACTGTAGTGCTTTCCCTGTATTCCTGCGTTACTCCTCTAGTTTTTGTCACAGTCTCTTGTGAGGTACTCTATCGATCACCTTCCTACAGTTCAAAAATATACAGTCCACCATCTTCTCTGTTTCGCCTAACTTCCGTTGTCTTGTCACAGAACTCGAGCGGATTTTTGTAACAGGATTTACCATCTCTAAAACATTCTTTCTATGTATTCCACTACTTTTCTTCTGATATCTTCTCCATAACCTTATGTACTATGCATGTCAGTGATACTAACCTGTAGTTTAATGCTACTGTCTGTCCCCTTTCTTAAATATCGGGACTACACTCATTGTTTCTCACACCTCCGGTAGCTGTGTTTGTGTGCGTGTGGGCATAAATTAGGTAGCATACATATATGCATAAACTAGGCAGTGTTAGTGGTGTGTGTGTGTGTGTGTGTGGTGTGTGTGTGTGTGTGTGTTACTCACTAGTTGTACTCACCTAGTTGAGGTTGCGGGGGTCGAGTCGAGTTCCTGGCCCCGCCTCTTCACTGATCGCTACTAGGTCACTCTCCCTGAGCCGTGAGCTTTATCATACCTCTGCTTAAAGCTATGTATGGATCTGCTCCACTACATCGCTTCCCAAACTGTTCCACTTACTGACTACTTTTGTGGCTGAAGAAATACTTCCTAACATCCCTGTGATTCATCTGCGTCTTCAACTTCCAACTGTGTCCCCTTGTTACTGTGTCCAATCTCTGGAACATCCTGTCTTTGTCCACCTTGTCAATTCCTCTCAGTATTTTGTATGTCGTTATCATGTCCCCCCTATCTCTCCTGTCCTCCAGTGTCGTCAGGTTGATTTCCCTTAACCTCTCCTCGTAGGACATACCTCTTAGCTCTGGGACTAGTCTTGTTGCTAACCTCTGCACTTTCTTTGTTTCTTTACGTGCTTGGCTAGGTGTGGGTTCCAAACTGGTGCCGCATACTCCAATTATGCGCCTAACGTACACGGTGTACAGGGTCCTGAATGATTCCTTATTAAGATGTCGGATGCTGTTCTGAGGTTTGCTAGGCGCCATATGCTGCAGCAGTTATTGGTTGATGTGCGCTTCAGGAGATGTGCCTGGTGTTTTATACTCACCCAAGATCTTTTTCCTTGAGTGAGGTTTGTAGTCTCTGGCCCCTAGACTGTGCTCCGTCTGCGGTCTTCTTTTGCCCTTCCCAATCTTCATGACTTTGCACTTGGTGGGATTGAACTCCAGGAGCCAATTGCTGGACCAGGTCTGCAGCCTGTCCAGATCCCTTTGTAGTTCTGCCTGGTCTTTGATCGAGTGAATTCTTCTCATCAACTTCACGTCATCTGCAAACAGGGACACCTCAGAGTCTATTCCTTCTGTCATGTCGTTCACAAATACCAGAAACAGCACTGGTCCTAGGACTGACCCCTGTGGGACCCCGTTGGTCACAGGTGCCCACTCTGACACCTTGCCACGTACCATGACTCGCTGCTGTCTTCCTGACAAGTATTCCCTGATCCATTGTAGTGCCTTCCCTGTTATCCCTGCTTGGTCCTCCAGTTTTTGCACCAATCTCTTGTGTGGAACTGTGTCAAACGCCTTCTTGCAGTCCAAGAATATGCAATCCACCCACCCTCTCTCCCTTGTCTTACTGCTGTCACCATGTCATAGAACTCAGTAGGTTTGTGACACAGGATTTCCCGTCCCTGAACCATGTTGGCTGCTGTTGATGAGATCGTTCCTTTCTAAGTGTTCCACCACTCTTCTCCTGATAATCCTCTCCATGACCTTGCACGCTATACATGTCAGTGACACTGGTCTGTAGTTTAATGCTTCATTGTCTGTCTCTTTTTTAAAGATTGGGACTACATTTGATGTCTTCCATGCCTCAGGCAATCTCCTGTTTCGATAGATGTATTGAATATTGTTGTTAGGGGTACACATAGCGCCTCTGCTCCCTCTCTCAATACCCATGGGGAGATGTTATCTGGCCCCATTGCCTTTGAGGTATCTAGCTCACTCAGAAGCCTCTTCACTTCTTCCTCGGTTGTGTGCACTGTGTCCAGCACTGGTGGTGGTTCCCCACCTCTCCGTTTTTCTGGAGCCCCTTCTGTCTCCTCTGTGAACACTTCTTTGAATCTCTTGTTGAGTTCCTCACATACTTCATGGTCATTTCTTGTTGTCTCTCCTCCTTCCTTCCTTAGCCTGATTACCTGGTCCTTTGACTGTTGTTTTCCTCCTGATGTGGCTGTACAACAGTTTCGGGTCAGATTTGGCTTTCGCTGCTATGTCATTTTCATATTGTCTTTGGACCTCCCTTCTTATCTGTGCATATTCGTTTCTGGCTCTACGACTGCTCTCCTTATTCTCCTGGGTCCTTTGCCTTCTATATTTCTTCCATTCCACTTGGTTTTTGCCTCCCTGCACCTTTGGGTAAACCATGGGCTCATCCTGGCTTTTTCATTATTCCTGTTACCCTTGGGTACAAACCTCTCCTCAGCCTCCTTGCATTTTGTTGCTACATATTCCATCATCTCATTAACTGGTTTCCTGCCAGTTCTCTGTCCCACTGAACCCCGTTCAGGAAGTTCCTCATTCCTGTGTAGTCCCCTTTCTTGTAGTTTGGCTTCATTCGTCCTGGCCTTCCTGCTTCTCCTCCACTTGTAGCTCTACTGTTTATTCGAAGCTTAAAAACCACATGGTCACTGGCCCCAAGGGGTCTTTCATATGTAATGTCCTCGATATCTGCACTACTCAAGGTGAATACTAAGTCCAGCCTTGCTGGTTCATCCTCTCCTCTCTCTCTTGTAGTGTTCCTTACGTGTTGGTACATGAAGTTTTCCAGTACCACCTCCATCATCTTAGCCCTCCATGTATCTTGGCCCCCATGCGGGTCCAAGTTCTCCCAATCGATCTCCTTGTGGTTAAAGTCACCCATGATCAGGAGTTTGCCTGCATGCATGAGCTCTCTGGCCACTTCTAGCCAGTGTGTCAACCATCGCTCTATTGCTCTCGTCGTACTCTTGCCTTGGCCTCCTGCTGTTCTGTGGTGGGTTATACATCACTGCTATTACCACCTTGGGACTCCAGAGTGAAGCGTTCCCGCTATGTAATCACTTTCTTCTCCGCTGTGTCCTCTTTCCAGCTCATCAAAATTCCAGCGATTTTTGATCAGCAATGCCACTCCTCCACCCCCCCCTGTTCCCTCTGTCTTTCCTCAGGATTTGGTATCCCATTGGAAAGATGGCATCTGTTATCATACCTGTAAGCTTAGTTTCTGTGAGAGCTATGATGTCCGGTGATGCCTCTTTGACTCTTTCATGCCACTCCTCCCACTTATTTGTTATTCCATCAGCGTTTGTGTACCA